TCCAAGGGACGTTCTAAAGACATCACTATATCTTAAAAACATGCTGAAAAAATTCTAAAGATGTCCATTGCAAATTGGTGTTGTCTTGAGTATATTGTAATATTTATTTTACTTACAAATTCACGTTAAATCTTTCATTTTTCACGAGTTTAGTGAAAGTTTTCATCTTTCACGAGTTCACTACAAAATTTTCACTTTTCACGAGTTCACACTAGGGGAAAAGATTCATGATCGCTACCCTGTATTAGAGATGCCCGATCCTTAATCGATTCGATTCTTTCCCTAACAAATTTAAGGAAAAAGGGTTGTTCGTGCTGCTTGCATGTTTCATATTTTTCGCTTTTAAAAAGATATAAACGCCTAATCAGACGCTTGGAAGAAACAATCGAGTTGGTTGTCTGGTTTTTGCTTCTTCGAAACATTCCAATATACTTTTGTCTAGTTTTAAATACGAAAAGTGCGAAGAGTGCAAACAACACGAATAAGCTTATTTTTGAGGAAAGAATCAAATCGATTCAGAATCGGGCATCTTTACCCTAGTTCATATTACGTATACTATAAAATTTCAATACTGGCAGTGAATTTCGGAATGCAGCCTTTATATCATCTAATCTTATCTCATCTTATCTACAATGTTTTGTCGAACTGGAAACATAGGCCAGACTCTTACTATAGGGACTCTAGGCCAGACTCTTACTATAGGGACTCTAGGCCAGACTCTTACTATAGGGACTCTAGGCCAGACTCTTACTATAGGGACTCTAATCCATTCCAGCCTTTGTAAATAGCCTTAACTGCCCCTTGTGCATATTTTCACATACTACAATATGAAAGCGGATTAATTCTAATGATATACAAGATATTATATGAAATAAAGATGTGAGCATACGCATATATACAGGGTGTCTCAGACCACTCATACACCCCGTGAATTAGTAATTCGCTAGATAAAGCAGAACACCGGTTGGTGATGTGCAATTGGGTTTGTATGAAAGTGGAACAATTTCTTTATGTTATACGATCGCAGACAAAAAATTGTCCATAATTTTGTGATTATATAAAAATTCCGTCTTGTTCTTCTTGTCCAATGGAAGAATTTGTTGACCAGTGGGAGTATGCTCCCATTGGACAAGACGAGTGAGTTTATAAATTGATTCCAAAAATTATGGACAATTGTCTGTGACTGTACTACTCCTTTATAACCATGTACTTTGAATTTAAAACATAAAATATTATTGAATAATTAAATATAATATTTTCCTACTTTTTACCATTTTTTCTATCAAAATTTTCTATTGTGTAACCAGGGCATCATTCTCTCGTCTTTTTACTGGGGTTACGTCATCACGCATCTGCCAGGCGGAATGTTAGCCGAAAAGTTTGGCGGAAAATACTCTCTCGGTCTTGGAATGCTGTCAACTGCAATATTCACATTATTGACACCGATAGCGGTTGAATGGGGTGAAGCAACCGCTTTGATTGTTCTACGAATTCTCATGGGTTTAGGAGAAGGTACAACTTTCCCAGCGTTGAACGCCATGTTAGCACAGTGGATACCGCCAGAAGAGAGATCGTTGATCGGATCGCTTGTGTTCGCTGGCGCTCAACTCGGCACAGTTTTCGGTACCTTGGTATCCGGTGAGATCCTTCATCACTATTCTTGGCAAATTGTCTTTTATTTATTCGGTGCATTAGGCGTGCTGTGGTTCATCGTATGGGTTCTGGTTTGCTACAACAACCCGTACGAGCACCCCTTCATTTCCGAACGGGAGCTAAAATATTTACACGAGCGTATGAGCGAGCACACTCACAAGAAACCACCGCCGGTACCCTGGCGACATATGCTAAACTCAGTGCCACTTTGGGCACTAGTTGCCGCCCAGGTTGGTCACGACTGGGGTTTTTTTACCATGGTAAACGACCTGCCTACATATATGAGTAGCGTTCTCCACTACCCTATTCGGAGCAATGGGTACTTCTCGTCGTTACCATACCTTACGATGTGGTTTAGCAGCCTGCTGTCGTCCTGGCTGGCTGATTGGATGATTATCAAAGGCGTTATGTCACGTACTAACGTGCGTAAACTTGGTACTACAATTGCTTCCTTGGGTCCAGGAATCTTTATCGTCGCTGCTTCGTATAGCAAATGCGATAAAGTAATAGCCGTCGTCATGTTTACTATTGGTATGACTTTAATGGGTACGTATTTATATTACTCGGAATATTCATTATGAAAAACTATTGACGTATTTTACAATTATAATTTACAATTTTGTCCTATAGGTACTTTTTATCCTGGGATGAAAGTCAATGGGTTAGACCTTACTCCTAATTACTCTGGCACTCTAATGGCAATAGTCAATGGAATCGGTGCCATCACCGGTATTATAACGCCATACATTGTCTCTGTACTTACTCCTAATGAAACCCTGAGTCAATGGCAACTCGTATTTTGGATCGTTTTTGGTGTCTTTGTTGTTACGAATTTAATCTTTATTCTGTTTGCCAGTGGCGAAGTTCAGTATTGGAATGACCCCGATTTCATTATACGAGATCGGGAAGAACGACAACATAAAGCGAAAGACAAAGCATCGAAGAAATCAAATAAAACTGTGACGTAACAATCGCTTATCGTTCTCTCAGGATATATTTCAATGACTGCAGCATATGCTACATCGATTGTCATACAATGTTACATCCAATAAGTTTTCTTTCATTTGTCAGATTACGTACAATAATGCTAGATGCATGGTATTGTATATGAATTTTTGCGAGTATTATTATCAGATTTTGGAACATTGCGTCATTTATCCTCATCCTAAGCGCCCACTTGAACGCCTAATGGCTCCTGCACACAGGACGTGCGACAGCCAATCAATATGTTGTTTTTCTGTAAGAGCTAGAAGGTTATTACGGAAAGCAGCATATTGATTGGCTGTCGCGCGAACTTCTGTCGCACGGCAAGCATTACCGCGTCCTGTGTGCAGGAGCCATAACACGGCAATACCATATATACCGATCTAGCGGTAAGGGCGAGGAGAAATACTACGTTATTTGGCTCTTATCGTCAAATTGATATGTATGTCACTACTATGCTAGACGCGACCGCAAGCGAATGGGGAAATCAAAGATAAGCAATGTAAAGGATCAAAACCTGATTATCACTCTATATTCGCAAAACTTGCAAGTTTACTTGGCGCTTCCAAAACTCTATCGACTACGGACTTATAACGATTGTAAATATTATATATTATGCAAATTATTATTAAGTATTTACTAATTGTACAAATCACCAATATTGCCATTGCCATCATTACAAGAGAAGTAGGAACAAAACAAGATTGTCAATCTTCGCGATTTGAGATTTTCAACACAAATCTTTTATTATATTAAGAAAAAATGTAACAACATAAAAAGATTTATTTAATTTGAAAAGAAATTCTGGAAACTTGTGCAGACAATGTATGATTATTTATATATTTGAATGTAATTGTAAGTATATTTCCAACTTAAAAAGAAAGTAAAAAACACACAAGATATATCTTTTTTTTATAAAAAGAGGATTTTTAAATTTATTTAAAAGAATATTCCAAATTTTTCGCCGGTAGAAGAAGGAGGGTGTATTAGGTGGCGGCGGGACGCCGTCCGGTACCTGCATCTTTTTCGTTCCGGAGAGAGAAAAATATCGAGAGTACGGTTTGCTTGGGACTCGAACCCGGGTCTTTCGCTTGCCGGGTGACTGCTCTAAACTACTGAGCTACCTGACGCTCCACGTTCACTTTCCTCTCCCTAGAACCGTTCGAAAGTGACATCTCTGGCGGGATCCCGAGCGCACGGCGACTATAGAGAGAAACAATGTTAATGTACCAAGTGGTACAGTAGTCAGTCTTTCAAAGTCAAAGGTTGTATTTTTTAAGACCTGCTATCCATGTATGCCCATTTCCACTGTTGCTTCTCCTCATCCGGTTTTAACCATCCGGTATTGGAATATTTTATTGCAAAAACCTAATCTAGAAAATACTTTTTTTTAATAAAAATTGATTTACATATGTTTAATCATTATATCCTCCTGTGATTAAAAACAAAAATTCGCACTAATGTCCGCGATTAAATTTTTATTGTCATATTTCTTTCTACTTTAAATATATAGTTAATTAATTTTAAAAAATTCTTTTTTAATAAAAGATTTTTTTAAAAGTAATATTAAATATTTTGCTGTAATTAATTTGTTAAATTTGCTATAATGTATTCTTCAAAATTTCTTTTGTCTAAAAGATCATTTTTGTCTTTTAATAAATATTTGATTTATGTTAACATATCTTAATCAGTAATTAAGTATTCCTCTTAAATATTCGAAATATCTTCTTATAAAATATGCAAATATCTTTAGAGCGTACTCGAAAATTCGAATTCGAAAAAACATTAATTAGGATTGATAATAATTTATTCTTTGGTGTATGTGTGTGTTCTCATACACTTGATTATTTCACTGTGAAAAAAACGAATTCTACTGCAAAAATAGATATTAATGGCTATGAAATTTCTGGCTCTAACCACAAATGTATATTTTGCAAATGGTTTTTGAATTTTTAATCGATACAAATTTTTTTCTTTAAATTAAAAATATGAACTACCGCGACGATGCTCGCGAACAGAAGTTTCGCGAGCGACGGCAAATAGTCGCCTGTTCGCCGCGTCGGCAAATTGCCGTCGGCTCCCGGACACGCCACTAAGATTTTCGCGAGAGTTGGGCGCCAGGTACGGAAAGGCCGCACCACCTCGATAAACGCGAGAGTAGATAATTGTTACGAAAAGAATGCGCGTCCCGGAACCGTCGGGACCGGTAGCTCTATTAAATTAAAGTCGGAGACGGGATGGGTTAGGAGGAGGCGAAATTACTGGACTCGATTTTGATAATAATGAGACGTTTATTCGGGGACTCTCGCACGTCCCGATAGTCGATATACGCGAGACGGTACAATTCGCGAAACGTTACACGAAGCCCGAGAACGCTTTCCTCGGGCGAGCCTTTCCTATCCGCGCGACCACTCCGCGGACGAGACACGGCACGATATGGGACGATACGCGACACAAATATAATTGGAGCAGAAGGTCAGTCTTACAATTTCGGCGACAGCCCTTGCGTCGGCGGCGGCGTCGGCGGTGACGGCAGCGGTGGAGGTCCTCTCTCTCTCTCTCCGCTCTCTCTCTCCGCTCTCTCTCTCTCTC